AGTTAAAATTAATAGTAATAAATTGGATAAATATGAATAACCGAGTGATAAACTTGAGAAATAACAATTTTGGTAAATGACAGCCATAAAAGTTAAAAGTGGGTGACAATAATTGTAGAATTTCATGAACAAACGACAAAGTAAATACGAAAAATTAAAATGAATTGAAATAAAAACCGCCGAATTTAAACAAAAACTGCACTTCACGCCTTCAAGGTGCATTGCCCGGGCCACCACCACCCTTGTTGCTCTCTCTTCTCTCTCTCTAATTCTTTTTTTTTTTTTTTTTTAAATGTTTTTTAGACTAATCTCTGCTACTCCATTTCCTATATTCATCCAATTGCAGGTGGCTTTGAGTTCTCTTTATAGCTATTAAAGAATTCCCATTTTCTTTTACTTCTTTCTTTATCAGAAATTTTATCCTTTCTTGAATATTTTTTTACTTGACACTAAACTTCTCTTCGAAACCAAGTTTTGCCAGTACTAGCAAAGTTGGTGTCTTTCAACTTCACTCTCTGCGTCCTTGCTTTAATTCTTTTAATTGAAAAAGGGTCCCCTTTTCTTTTTTGTGTTTTAGATTTTTTTTTTTTCTTTTCTAATACTGTTTGCTTGATAAGACTGCCATTGCAAATCTTGGCTGTTCTTCTGTTTCTTGATAAACCCATTTCTCCAACTCTGTTTAGTTTTTTCCTTTTTTCTTCTCTTCTGGGTCTTTCTGTCTTTCTTTTGTGGGTTTCTTGTTATGATGGGCTATTTCAGTTCTGGATCTCTGTAAAGGCACCATTGTTCTTGCAAGAGAGGTGGGAAAGATGAGAGCTCGCACTTTCCTTCAACTTCTTTTGGTCACCAGTGGACTCTTTCTTCTGGCTTCCCATGCTCTTCCTTCAAATGAGGGTATGATTCTTCAACTCATTGTGAATTTTTCACTTAGATCTGCCATTCTACTTGTTCTTTGAAGCTAAAAAATTAGTGGGCTCTGTGGGTGTGTTAGGATCAAGTTAAATTTAGGGTGTTTTGTTATATCATATTCTCTTAGGATCTTGGAAATGTAGTGCATTAATGGAGCCATATAATGTGTGTATGTAATATGTATCCCATTTTTTTTTGTGTTTTTATGCAGTGATTGCTCTTATTAAGTTCAAAGAAGCTATATATGATGACCCACTTCTAGTTTTGACTAGTTGGAATGCCCTAGATTCAGCAGACCCTTGCCATTGGAATGGCATTTTGTGTTCTGCTGCTGGAGATCATGTTACCAACATGTAAGAAAACATCTTTAAAGGGCTTTTTCTTTACTTTAATCCCACTTTTTTTTTTTTGTTTCTGCATTATTTAATGTTATATGTTTTCCATGGTAAATGTACTAATAGGCTCTTCCATGTTGCAGTAACATTTCCAGGGCATCTTTAAAGGGTTTTCTTGCACCAGAGTTGCATCTAATCCCAAATTTGCAATATCTGTAAGCCTTTTCCCCCAACAGAAGTACTAATGTTTTGGTTTTTTATGTTGTTTTGTCTGAATTTACATTTTGTGGATATGATGCATGATTGACATTAAGCTGGTGATGAACAGAATGTTGGATGGAAACCAGCTGCAAGGTACCATACCGAGGGAAATTGGATTGTTAAAAAGCCTTATAGTCTTGGACTTGAGCAATAACAGGTTTTCGGGGCCGATTCCTCGGGAGATTGGCGATTTACAGAACGTCGAGAAAATGTTAGTGTTTTGACATGGGATTTGCTACACTGGTGGTTCAGTTACCTTTGTCTTCTCTTACCTTTCGTCTCCTCTGTGCCTTTGCAGAAACCTTCGATCCAATGGGTTGACCGGAAGGTTGCCCCCTGAACTTGGCAATTTGAAAAACCTCAAAGAGCTTCGACTGGATAGGAATAAGCTCATAGGGACAGTGCCCGGCAGTAATGGCACGGGTTTTAGGTTTACCTCTCGTGGCAAACCTATTGGCTTTTGTCGTGCATCTAAACTAAAATTTGCTGATTTCTCCTACAACTTCTTTGTTGGAAAGATACCGAATTGCTTGCATTATCTTCCAAGGTATTGCTCGTCATTCTGCTTTGGATTTCTTTACGCCTTCTATCCTTTTTCCTTTTTTTTTTTTTTGGTCTCATTTAACTCGTTCTCTTTAAAAGGTCTAGCTTTCAAGGGAACTGCCTTCAAGTCCAAGAAATTAGGCAGCGGCCTGCTGCCCAATGTGGTATGTACACTGCTTCGACCCGACTTCTGAAAACACTCGATACTGCAAAATTGATTATAAATGGTGCTTAACTTCTCGAGTCCAGGTCGTGAATCGACGGCCAAGATCCAGCCTGAAGTCAACAATAGACACCACCGCCCTGCTGAACACGTGCCCGAACATAAGTCTGCTGCAAAACCCGCGTGGCTCTTTGCCCTCGAAGTGTTCACGGGGGTCATGGTTGCTGCTCTTTTTGTAGTGGCAATTTTGACTACGGTTAAAAAGTGCAAGAGCAAATCTTCCATTATTATCCCGTGGAAGAAGTCAGGTAGCGAGAAGGATCACCTCACGATTTATGTAGGTTAGTATCTATACAGTTTCTATTGGTGTTTCACCTTCTACTCGCCATAAAAGGTAAAATTAATTTAATGAAATTTACGTTAGATACTGAGATGCTGAAGGATGTAACGAGATACAGCAGGGAAGAGCTAGAGGTAGCGTGTGAAGATTTTAGCAATATTATTGGATCCTCACCGGACAGCGTGGTCTATAAAGGAACCATGAAAGGCGGGCCTGAGATTGCTGTGATATCCCTTTGCATGAAAGAAGAGCATTGGTCCGCCTATCTTGAACTTTACTATCAGAAAGAGGTAGCAGAACTTGCGAGAATAAATCATGAACATACGGGAAAGCTTCTAGGATACTGTCGAGAGACCAGTCCTTTTACGAGGATGTTGGTGTTCGAGTATGCATCAAATGGAACATTATATGAGCACCTTCACTGTAAGTACGAGGATGTTGCTTTGCTTCTCTTTTGTTCGGTTCGTTTGTAGGCTAACATTGAAAATGGTTAATTTGTAATTTACTGCAGACGGGGAAGCCTGTCAGTTATCCTGGACGAGACGGATGAAAATTGTTATTGGCATTGCTAAGGGGTTAAAATATCTCCACACAGAACTTCACCCTCCATTCACCATATCCGAACTAAATTCAAACGCGGTGTATCTCACAGAAGATTTTTCTCCCAAGGTATCCCAAGTTCTCTGAGCATAGTTTAAACGAGCTTAAAGAACCGTGTCATTCATGTTTTTTCAGTTTTTATCTTTTTGTTCAAACTGTCCTCTCAAGTTTTATATATACATTTGGTGCAGCTGGTTGATTTTGAAAGCTGGAAGACGATCATTTCAAGATCAGAAAAGAACTCCGGTGCTATAAGCAGTGAAGGCGCCATTTGCATCCTTCCAAATTCACTCGAGGGGCGCTACATCGATGTCCAGGGTAACATCTACGCATTTGGAGTGCTGCTGCTGGAAATCATCAGTGGCAGACCTCCATACTGCAAAGACAAAGGATCCTTAGTAGACTGGGTAACACTCTTAACGCTTCTAACTCGAGACAAATCCTTACTTTTTCTTATTTTGGGTGACGAAGGAAACCCGCAGTCACTACCCAAAGGTGTGCATTAGGTAAACCCCGCCTTGTGACCCTAGCCCGCTAAGGACCACAAGGAGGTAAACCAACTTAGATTAACTGGCTCAAACCAAGAAGGCTAATAGACGCTCCCACTGGGAGTTGAACTTGTAACGTTGTGGTTACTAAGTCAATAGCCTGACCAACTTGATTGGGGGTGTCCCCTGAGACAAACCCTATCCCGCTAAGGACCACTAGGAGGTAAACCAATTTAGGTTGTCCATAGCTGACTGGCTCAGACCAATAAAGTCAATAGCCCGCTCTCACTGGGAGTTGAATTTATAACGTTGTGGTTCCCAAGTCAACAGCCTGACCAAATTGGTTGGGGTTGCCCCGAGACAAAACCTTGAACACGCTAGCCGGTAGCCATGCATGAATGTATGATGAACTCTCGCTCGCTTAATTCACGTTGCAGGCTGAGCAATACCTCGAGGTTCCCGAGGTAATGTCGTACTTGGTGGATCCTGAGCTGAAGCATTTCAGATATGAAGACCTTAAGGTGGTGTGTGGGGTGATCAACAAATGCATCCACCCAGATTCCAATTGCAGAGCTTCCATGAAAGACTTGTGTGCTGTGCTGGAAAGCGACATCGACACATCCATATCTGCAGAGCTGAAGGCGGCGGCGTCTCTGGCGTGGGCCGAGCTCGCGCTCTCGTCCTGACACTACTGCTTGCTGCTAACAACTGTAAATTTGGAATACATATATAACATTTGTTGTCATCAAGTTGAGATTTTGTGTAAATTGTGTGATGTGTTAGAGCTAATCAATTCTTTGTACACTACTAGAACATCAGTGAGCATTAGATAGTCAAATAGTGAAAGAGCTATTGATATCTATATATATCTGTGTGTTTGAAGTTGCAGAAAATGAGTGGTTAAATAAAATGCAATATATATATATATATATATATATATATATATATATATATATATATATATATATTGGTTCAAATGAGGACAGGGTTTCACGTGCGGCCGGTGAAGATTGTACCATTAGGTATACATAAATACACCACACAAGGTTCAGAAATACATAAATGCACCACATCTAATGGTGCATTTTCAAACACTTTGTGATGCATTTATGCGTACCTAATAGTGCGTGACCTCACGGGAAGCACTATCTGCACAGGAACCTGACCCTATATATATATATATATATATATATATATATAGGGAAAAAATGTCAAATAAACCCTGAACGTTATACAAAAAAATAATTAGATCTATAAATTATAAAAAGTTACAAATAAACACATCAATTTATCATTTTTGTGCATTTGAATCCAATAGTCAGTTATCCACTGGTAATTAAAATAATTAGATCTATAAATTATAAAAAGTTACAAATAAACACATCAATTTATCATTTTTGTGCATTTGAATCCAATAGTCAGTTATCCACTGGTAATTAAGATTTCGGTAATCGAAAGTGACACCAGCAACTGTCGAATGATCACTGATCGCCTTCTTCAATGACAATTGACGTTCTTCAATAACAAAGGCGACCTTTCGACAGTCACCAATTGCCAGAACCCTAATTGCCAGTGTTGAATGGATTACATCAAGATTCCAAATACAATCCTACACTGCAAATGGTGAAGCTCTCAAACAATGCATAAGAATTTCTACTTATTTACAAGTTGTTGAGAGAATCCCAAAGCACACTGAGATCTAAATTCCCCCCAGAGATCACAATCCCCACATTGTTGCACTTGTTCCATGCCGGGTTGTTCCTAAAACCGTCGGAGAGAACAGCTGCAAGGCCTATTGCTCCACTGGGCTCTACCGAAATCTTGAGAATCTCATAGCACAGTCTCATGGCTGCTATTATCTCTTTATCGTCAACAGTGATGATGTCGTCGACAAGATCCTGGACAACAGGCCTGTTCGAGACATAGTATATGTTCATTTCAAGATTGTTTGTTTAGGATAAGACAAGACAGACTAGGAAAAACCAAATGGCATGTTCTATTTCAACATTACCAGGTGAGGTCTCCAAGAAAAGCTCGAAGGCCATCAGCAATGGTGTTAACTTCGGGCAGCTTTATAATCCTACCAGCTGCTTTCGACTTTGCAGCATCATCTGCTCCCCTCGGTTCAGCACCCAAAACTCGAATGGCTGGATTGATGGACTTTGCAGCCAAAGCCACCCCCGATATTAGACCCCCACCGCTAATTGGAACGATTATTGTGTCAATTTGGGGAGCCTGTTCGAGAAGCTCCAATGATACTGTACCCTGTCCACTGTAAAAAAAAAAAACCATCCCCCAAGTTACTTCAGAACCTTTTCTCGGAAAAGAGATGGAAAACGACAATCCGGATAGATAATAAACAGCCAAAAAGATCAAAGTACCTTATGATGCGCCCGTCATTATATGGATGAATAAGGACAGAACCGGTATCTTGCAATACCTTAGTAGCGACATCTTCTCTGGACTTCACATTCGACTCACTCCAGATAACTTGGCCGCCATGGCGGATCACGTTGTCAACCTTGCACTTTGGAGCATTTTTTGGTATAACTATATACGCAGGGATCCCCCGTAGTTTTGCAGCCAAAGCAAGAGCTGCAGCATGATTGCCGCTATGTTTTCCAATTAAGGATAAAGGATCAGGGAATGTTGGTAGATGAGGATAAAGGCAACGAACACGAAAAGCTAAAACATTTAGACCTGCTATGAGTAACAACCCCTTTAGCTGCCTGAGCATCATCGAGTGAAAACACAGCATTGCAGGCCCCTCTAAACTTGAAGGCTCCACTGATACATCAAACGTTCAATTAAGATATAAAATAATAAGTCTCCAAGAATCTGTTTTAGACTTAAACCGAGCACGAATAACTGTGAAATCAGGAGAATATTCTCATACCATACAAACACGAAAAAAAATCACCTTACCCCTTCTGAAAGCTTTCACATTTAAAGTGCAACTTTCTTCCAGCAAGAGAATTTAAGGTTTCTGATGTCAGGACAGGGGTTTTGTGCACAAAAGGCCTGATTCGTTTTTCGGCATCTCTTATGGTAGAAATGTTAGCAGCATATTCATGGCTGGATGTTTCGCTTTTCTCTTCCATCCTGTACAAGTAAAAGTTAGACCCATCTCCGGTCACTCCAATAACCTTTTAGTAGTGGAAAAACAGGTGGCTTGGGGGCAACCTTAGCCAAGTTGGTCAACCTGTTGGCTTGGTAGCCATAGGGTTCCAAATTGGACTCCGAGTAGGAGCGGTCTATTGACTTTGTCAGTTTGAACCGACAACTAATACAACCCTGAGGTTGTATGGGAATGGTTTTCTTCGAGTCAAGAGCTAAACTCCAAAAAGTGAGGGAAAAAAGACATGGTTGTGTGCTTCGAGTGACAACTCAACTCCAGAAAAGGGGATAAGAGAGGAGAATGTCGACAGACAAAGTCAATATAATCTTCCGTCCTTTCTAGGTAGGTATTTATACAGGATCATAAAACTACCCACTACCCTATTACTGTAATATAACTACCCATGAATCCCACTATACACTAATAATAATAATAATAACTGCATCAACATTGGACCCTGGGTGTATCATTAATGAACTGGTCAGCAGCTATGTACAACCTATGCTAATTCCTTTGCCGATTAGGAACGAGATTTACTCATGCACACCCTCGAGTAATAGCTGTGGTTTCTCTCGTCACTCAAAAAAACAGGTGGCCTGAGAAGAGAACACAAGAAGCATTCTTCTATGCAATATTAATTCTACAAATTTCATCACAAGATTCCATCTAACCAGTTCTTGAAATCCCATTTCATCACTACAGTAAGTAAGCAGATTCAGAAGCCCCACAACTCTTTTTTTTTTTTTTTTTTAAAAAAAAAAAAAGAGGGCAGATTTTGAAAATATAAGCAATAAACTACAGGACAGACTCCATGAAATTAAAATCTAGGAAAAACTGAATGGAGAAACAGCAAAGGAAACAGAAAACTGGGCTAATAATAGAAGGGTACTAAAAGACAGTAGGGCACCTATGTTTTTGCAAAGGTTTTCAGTAATTAGCATTGAAATCTTACATTTCTTGATAAATTGAATTCGTAGTGGAAAGAAGATAGGAATTTGAGGATAGGTTTTTTGTGGATCAGAAAGACAACTTACAGTGATATAGCAGCAAGAGCAGTTGAATCTTGGAAGGGTTGATTCAGTGAAGATTCCTATTCCGCCGGCAATTGAAGCTCAATCCTATGTTGTTGGCATTTGTTTTGTTTGTATTTTTAAAATTAATATCATTCTTTTTGGCAATTTTTAATGTAATCCAACCTGGTTAATGCGAAACACCTTGTGCTCATATGATATGAAGGATTCTTCATATGAGAGGTTATGAGATTCGGCTTTAGTGAAGGTGATATTAACTTTTGTACTTCAACAAGTTGAAAAAGTATAAATGAATAGATACTAAAATGTAATAGAGTCACTAATACTAAAAAAAAAAAAAAAAAAAAAAAACCTGGTTCATGATAACTTTCTTTCTCCCAAAAGGTTGAATCCCAATTCCAAGGACCCCCACATATCTGGGCCCGACAAAATATTTGAAAGGATGTAAATCATCATAACTCCAATTCCAAGGACGCCCAGGATGTAAATCACCATAACTCCAATTCCAAGGACGCCCACACATCTGGCCCGACAAAATATTTGAAAGGATGTAAATCACCATAACTCAATAACTAACGACGTTAAAGAAACGGCTGCCGTTACATATTAACAGAGCCCGAATTTTTGGTGTGTTAATTACAAAATAAAACTATATTGTATTTAAAATGAAACTGTCTCACATATTGTTTTTATATTATCAAATAAAACTGTAATTAAATTGAAATGAAACTGTGGTTGTGTTGAAATGAAACTGCAGTATATATAAAATGAAACTAAATAATAGCTTCACATATTTGAGTGTACATTGTCCAATGAAACTGTAGTTATATCGAAATGATACTATAGTTGTGTTGTAATGAAACTATAGTTTATATAAAATGAAACTGAAAAAACAGTTTCACATATTTGAGTGTATAATGTCGAACGAAACTGTAGTTATATCGAAATGAAACTGTAATTGTGTTGAAATGAAATTGCAGTGTATATAAAATGAAACTAAATATGTTATATAAACAGAGCTACTTTATGCGGAACATGTGTCGTTTCTTTTCATTAAAAGAAACAGCGTCGTTTTGGACCATGGTCCACGGTATAATTTGACATAGTTCGACAGATAGGGTCAAATGACGGTGGGCGACAAGGGATCTATCCACTTTAGACATAATCTCCACACTGCCAGTTCAAACTTTGTCTCTTTCTCCCATATACTACCTACTAAACCTTGTTCAGGATAACCTGAGTGGCATGAGTGGTGTATTCTCTTTTTTTTTTTAACAAAGGTTGGGAGTAGCTCTTATAATTAAGATTTACTTATAGAAAAGACTAGTTTTTAAGAATATTTCGTAATTAAAATACTATACAAACCAATAGATGTAAATGATGATTTTTCTCCAAAACAGATATTTTATATAAAGAAAAAATTCCTAACAAAAAAAAACTAATAGCGCATCTGACAAAAAAGAAGAGATTCCTGAAAAAAGAATTAAAACAGTCAACTATTGTAATTAAAGATTTCTCAATAAAATTGAAAATTCATGTTTAATATCCGAAAACCAATATAAATAGAACCATTCTTAGAGAGTTAGAGTAGCAAACATCTCATGATCTAACAAAAAAAATTATTTAAGATTTTAAGATCAAATAAGGGCAAATGACATGTCAACATTTGAATACCCTACCAAGTGGCTTGTGGTCCACTGGTATCGGATTGCTCCTCTATGTGGGAGGTCTAGGTTTCGAGCCTCGTTATAGGCGTAGTTTGTATGGGTATCCCCTTCCTTTGTAATTAAAAAAAAAAAAAAAACACATTTGAATACCCTAAGCTTAGCAAGTTAATGTATCACTCTGATTCTCTAAACATGTTCTATTTAGATTTTTTATTGATGTCTTCTTATTCATCACCTCTTGTAAAATCATTTCAGAACTATCCTAAAATTACACCCTATAAAAATTAATATTGAAAATTTAATAAATGCATACTAAAATAATTCAAATAGTTTAAATAAACATTAATACATTTGTTAAAAACACAATAATAACTAATAAAGTAGTAAGTCTTAATAAATAATCAAATATATAATTCATTAATTCATAAGTCAATAACAAATCAATGTACTAATTACTAATACACTTTTATATATATATATATATATATATATATATATATATATATATATATATATATATATATATAGGGTTGCATTCACATGCAAACCCTCTTAAAATACAAACATGTGGACAAATATGGGCCATAAGATTATATTAGATTAATGGATTAGATTTAATGAGAAAAACACATGTCTGGAACGTAAATAATAATAATAATAATAAGGGCATTTAAGATAATTCCATGGTAGCCTAAATATGGTGAAACTGTGATTCTGATTTTTAATACCTAAATTAAAGGGGAGTAATTACAATAGGATTAAACAAAATCAATACAGACGCAAATGGAACACAAAATCAATTTAGACGTAATTTTTAGGATTAAACAAATATAACTCACATACAAATTAGGACAGTGAATGAACTACCAAATGGAACACAATTTTTTATCTTATTTAAAATGATAGTTTTGGAATGCCCATGCACATCATTTAAATTTTAACACAAATTTAATCTTTTTTTTTTGAGTTAATACCCAAAATCGTCCTCGACTATAGTGGTTTTTCTCAATTTCGTCCTAAACGACTTTGGTGACCTAATATCGTCCCAGACTTTTGTGTTTCACTCAATTTAGTCCCAGACTTTTGTGTTTTTGCTCAATTTAGTCTCTCATTTGTTATTCTGTCCATTTGGTGTTAAATAAATAGAGAATTTAGTAATTTTAATATTGACATCTCTTTACTCATAGACATGTGAACTGCGAAATCCCTTTTTTTTTTTTACAAATTACTCCCAGAATTACTCCTAAAATTGCGAATATAAAATTTGATTTGCAGGTCCGGGAGTAATTCTGGGTGTAATTCGTACAAGAAAGAGGAATTTCACTTCACAAGTTGAAAGTAAAGAGAGATCAATATTGACATTACTGAATTGTCCCTTTATTTAACATCAATTTGACGGAATAACAAATGGAGGACTAAATTGAGCGAAACACAAAAGTCTGGGACGATATTAGGTCACCAAAGTCGTTTAGGACGAAATTGAGAAAAACCACTATAGTCGAGGACGATTTTGGGTATTAACTCTTTTTTTTTTATGGTCAACAGGGGAATAACAACGTGAACACGATGCACAAGAGTGTTATGGAAATAGGTGATGATGGAGTGAAATACTAGAAACCTGCAACACAAAATGAGAAGACCTCATACGAAGGACTCGTACTTGAATATTTGTATTTATCAGACTTATTATTACTAGCACTTGATTTTAACAAAAATAGCCGCGTGGAGTAACATACGCACACATGAAGATATATGTGTGCACACATGTTGGAGGATTAAACTCATGTTGCCCAGGCAAGCACACTGTAACATATTGCGGTGCACACAGTGGCGAAAATATATCCCAATCGAGGGACGTCGACGTCTGACCAAAAATCATAAAAATAAGAATTGCTGCGCGCACAGGAAAATATAAACATTGCACACACCTCACACGCCTATCATATGCAGCCTCAGACACCTAAAAAAAAAAAAAAAAAAAAAAAAACAGATTCGTAATCAATTAATGTGTGCACGTTATTCGTAATTTCTATTACTCGCAGATTAGTGTGGTTTTGAATAAACCATTTGCTATTAAAACAATGTGCATCAAAACTGGGCATCAAAATTGCCGTGCACATTTACAGATAAATGCTAGCACACACCGTATCAAAAATAATAAGTAACTATATTAAAACATGCCGTGCACTTGTTTAGTTAACTGCGAACACACACCCTGTAACATATAGTTAGAACATGTTTTTAAACAAAAAGTGAAGGAACCATGGAACAAAAACATGAGCTAAAAAAAATACATGAAACCTGGCATTAAAACTGACGTGCACCTTTACAGACAAATGTAAGCACACACCCTATCAAATATAATAAGTAATTGTTTTTAAATCTGCCGTGCACATGTTTAGTTAATTGCGAGCACACACCCTCTAAAATATATTTACAACATGTTGAACAAACAGTGAAGGAACCAAAAAACAAACATAGTTGCTAAAAAATTACACAAAATCGGGCGTCAAACTGTCATACACATTTACAGACAAAAGCTAGCACACACCCTCTCAAAAATATTAGAAGAAATTAATTTTAAAATTGCTCTGCACATGTTTAGTTAACTGCGAGCACACTCCTCTTCGGACATCGAATCATCATCAAGGACATTCCACAACGGGTCTTGTTCCAACCTTGCAAAGAATGCCAACTGTGGCGAAACGAAGTCGTCATCACTCACACAACTTGGTGCCCCACCTAGAACACATCGCGACACCTTGGACTTCTTACCTGGAAAACAAAACAACAATATTTATAACCAGATAACACATAAATTTCTACCCCTGCGAGCACACAGACATAGCAAGAAATGCACACGGCTATTAAACTAAGATTTCACATCGTAATAAACCTATATAAAAATGGAAGATTACATTACTGTCAACAACCTTTTATTTCTACAGAAATGAGAAATAACAAAATTACACAGTGAACAAGATGAGAACAAGAAAGGACGACATTATATTGGTCTCTGGTTTTCAATAACAAGGTCGTACTTACTTAATCATTCCAGCTAATAAATTAATAATGTTTTTTTTTTTTTTTGGGATTTCTCGTACTAGTGAATTGAATGACATTTTGTTGTGTTTTATGGTATTGGATCGTTGAGGATTGAGATTAAAAAGGAATGGGAGCATGAAAAGACAAAGAAAGATGGTCGGATATTGAGAAGGAAAACACTGCAGATCTACAGTGGTGGAATGAATGCTGAATGGCTCCTAAGAATCTTACTAATTAAAAAATGATAATGGTGAAGATTCACGTTTTGCCATCAACACCCTACCCAGCCTGCAACTATGTATAGTAGCTTTGGGTGCTTGCAGAAGGCGTTTGGGGTTACACACATCAAACAAACCAGCAAATTATAACAACACCAATTAAGCAATCAAATTAAATGCAATAGCAAAATAAAACGCCATGGCCACAACTAAACTAAAAATAGCATTTCAGTTTAGAAATCCATGACACCAATTCAACACCAACAGTAACCACCCAACCCACCACCACACGGCAAGAATACAAATTCTTAGAAAAAAAAAAACAACAACAAAAACCCCAGGCTGGCAGTTCACTCTACGTTAGTGCACACACAATTAATCAGAAAAATGCAAGAAAATTCGACACCTACGAGCAACTCCGACACCAAAAATAAAATACAAAAAAAAAAAAACAAACAAAAAAAACAACCCAAGCTGTGGATTCCGGCGGAAATGAAGCGCCCACCATACCCCACCCCTACGGCAAGAATACAAAGGCGTAAAAAACATTTTAAAAAATAAAAAACCCAAACTGGCAGAGCTACTTCACTCTACGCTAGTGCACACAAAATTGATCAGAAAAATGCTAGGAAGATTGGCACCCACGAGCAAAACCTACACCCACAAAAAAAAAAAAAAAAAAAAAAAAACTAGATGTAGAATCCGATGGAAATCCGGCGCCCACCATACCACACCACTACACAGAGACTAAGCTGCGTACAATGAAGCACAAAACACAAGAACCCCCAAAATAAAATTGAAAATGGCGATAATAGAACAAGAACAAACCTTGGCCGACATCGGTGGTCTCCGCCGCTTCGCTTTTCCGTGGCCCCCACCGACGGCCATTGCTACGTGGAAGAGACGACCGAACGACGAGAATAGACCAGCCGATGCGATTAGAAGAGCCTGTCGAACACACTCTGCGAACGTGAAGAGAGAGCGAAGGCGGAGAACCAGACACACTACACGTGAAAACTAAGACTAATCTGACTAGGTGGGGCGTGGAATTGAAAGAATAGTTTGACTAGGTTACTATAATAGATAAAATACCATAACTACCCTCCTTAACATAAAAACTGAATAAAATACCATATATATCACGCACAGATCCTAACCGTCCAACATTAAGATCCAACAGCCACATCTTGTCCACGTGTTTATATTTTAAGGATTGTTTTTACCTGAATGTAATTCTATATATATATATATATATATATATATATATATATATATATATATATATATATATATATATATATATATATATATATATATATATATATATATATATATATACTAATAAGAGCCCAAGAGAGTTAGGCCTATAATGTGTAGAAAAAATGGCGGTCAAATTTTTTAATCAAATGAATGGCTCAGATTGATCAGAATTTAATTTTTCCTTTAAGATTTCCTGATTTATCCTTAATGAATATGATTATCCGTTAACTTTTCCGTTAAATATTATCTTTTCTGTTAATTTCTGTTAGTTCACTGTTAACTTACTCATTGATTTCAATAAGAAAGGTCTTAGGTTCGAATCCCATTCCAATCAAAGTTGGCATAATTAGTACTCTATTTTACTCTTATTAAATTATATAAATTATAAATAATAATTTAGTAGCTACAACAAAAATAATACATATGCATTTCTTTAATTTAGAATTAATTATGTGTCTACAATGTCTTTAATAATAATAATAATAATAATAATAATAATAATAATAATTATTATTATTATTATTATTATTATTATTATTATTATTATTATTGTTTTAAAAAAATAAAAAAATATATAATTAAGCCAATCATATTAACTACTTGGTGATTTTATTGACAAAAAAAGTATTCAAATTACACAACAAATTGAAGTGGGAAACTATCTCGCAATGTCCTTGTTTGGCAATCAGTAATTAGCTCTTCAATATTAGTATATATTTAATATTTTATGCCATAATTTTTATTTGCTTTCCCTTATGTCCCGTATTTGGTTTCAACCATACCTATACAATTATTTTATTGACAATTATAATCAATCTTGACTATATTATTATCTTGCATTTGTAAACTTAGAATTACCTATTTAAATACGCAAATTCAACATTCAATTATCTATGCATGAACAATTTCAATATAATCTTGTCTTGATATATTTTAAAGTACTTATTTAAAAAAAAAACATTGGGCATTATACAAATCCCGCAATGCGCGTAAAGAACTAGTATATATATAGATATGGAAGAGATCAGGTATATTTGTTGCTTCCCGTGCGGATGTGCGGTGGATTAATGTGCGTGAGATTTATACTTAGTGTGCGTGAGATTTATACTCAATGTGCTTGAGATTTGTACTTAATGTGTGTCATGTTAATATGCGTGAGTTTTGTACTTAATGTGCCTGAGTATTGTGTTTAATGTGCGTGAGATTTGTGCTTAATGTGCGTGCGTATTTCAGAATTACGAGCTCAGAAGGAAGCAGAACAGAAACTCACGCACATTAATGCCCAAGCTTCTTGTTACTTCTTCCTTCAATTTGGCCATGGATTCTGGATTATCAGCTACCTTCAGTGCAGTTGAATGTTTATATTAATGACGCACGCATAGTAAAATTTGCACAGCAGCTAAGTGTGGATTTCTGTTGTATTATTTCCATAATTTTTAACCACCATAACTCGCATCCGCATCATCATCATCAGGGAGGGAGCAAATGGCTACAGGGGATGGGGGAGAAACTGACATCAATATTTTCTGCTGCATTTTACACATTCACGCACATTAAGTACAAATTTCAGACACTTTAACCACAACACTCACGCACATTGACTACAAATCTCACGCACATTAATTCACCGCACATCCGCACGGAACCTTTCACTATATATATATATATATATATATATATATAATTAAGTTCCAGTGTGGGTGAATGTTTCCCGTGCGGTTGTGCGTTTTTAATATGCGTGAGTTTTGTACTTAAGGTGCGTGAGTCTTGTACTTAAGGTGCGTTAGTTTTGTGCTTAAGGTGCGTGAGTGTATACTTAATGTGAGTAGTGTTGAAACTTAAGGTGCATGAGTTTTGTGCTTAAGATGCGTGAGTTTTGTACTTAAGGTGCATGAGTTTTGTGCTTAAGATGCGTGAGTTTTGTACTTAAGGTGCATGAGTTTTGTGCTTAAGGTGCGTGTGTTTTGCGCTTAATATGCGTTAGATTTGTGTTCTTAATGTGAGTAGTTGTTGAAATTTAAGGTGCATGAGTTTGTGCTAAGGTGCGTGAGTTTTGTGCTTAAGGTGCGTGAGGTTTGTGCTTAAGATGTATGTGTGTGTTTTGAAGATGTTTTGTTTGTGTGCTTAATGTGCGTGTGTTGTGTACTTTAAGTGCGTCAGTTTAATGCTTAATGTACGTCTACCCGCACAACTGCATGGGAAGTCCTTTCAGCACCTGATCCCTTCCCTATATATATATATATATATATATATATATATATATATATATATATATATATAATCGCACTCAGGTGCGAATGCTTCGCCAGGCGCGAAATAGGAATGAATTATGTTCATCCGTGTCCAGATCTAATGGATGAGAAACACTGATTTTTTAAAAAAACGCGGTGGCATTTTCGTAAATAATTGAACATCGAAGTGCATGTAAAATGTATTATAGGTGCAAGTAAAAATTTACACTGAGCATCAATACTTAGTTGCAACTATAGTTCTAAGTAGTTGCACTTAGGTGTATGAATGTTTGCGAGTGGTTTTCAGGGGTATTACTACCCGCTGAACTCAGATCAATGAATGTTAACAAGGCAAAATTACATGCACTTATAGGTGAAAGTAGGTGTACCTATAGTTATAAGTAGTTGCACCTATAGTTATAAATAGTTGCACATATAGTTATAAGCATACCCAGGTGCATGAATGTTTGCGGAAAGTGAATGCTAACAAGGCAAAATTACATGCACTAATAGGTGAAAGTGGGTGCACTTGTAAGTGATTTTACTTGCACTTCGATGTTCAATTATTTACGAAAATGCCACCGCGTTTTTTTTTTTTTTAAGTTATTAGATCTGGACACGTGTCGCGCACTGATTCGTTCGCATTTCCCTCCTGAGCATTTATTCGCACCTGAGTGCATCCCTATATATATATATATATATATATATATATATATATATATATATATATATATATATATATATATATATATATATATATATACAATTCTAATAAGAGCCAATAATGTTAGGCCCTTAACCGAAATAAAAAAATGTCGGTACTACTTGTTTCTTAAGATGAATGGTTCATAGTATTTTGATTTTTGTATTTTTAATGATTTTTCTTATTTACCCTTTATTATATTATTTTCTTTCATTAAATAATCTTAAATTCCGTTAGTATAAACTTTATTAACGGAATATTCCGTTAACTATTTATTATTTTTAACTTACTCATTAATTTCTATAAGAAAGGTCTTAGGTTCGAACCTCATTCCAATTAGAGTTAGCATAATTGTTAAACATATACTACGAATATGTTAAAATGTATTAAAAATAAAATATAAAATTTAACATAAACTTTGGTCAAATAATTAGCCTGACTAAATACATAGCATTTCAATGACTATAAATCAGGAACTTTGATAATCATTTGATTTTCTTTCATTAAAAAAATAATAAATTTAAATTCAGTTTTTTTTTTTTTTCGTTTAATTAATCTTCTTTTGATTATTGAGAACAAAATTTAATATTTCAATTATGCTTTTATCAATGCATGAAAACTTCTAAAGAAATTTGTATGTTAATTTTTACTATATTATTATAACAATATCTATTGTAACCTTATATTTTAAATTATTTATTATCATCATCTATTGACAACAATTGTCATTGACAAACTCTCAAAACAATTTGTCTCAACAACGAATGAAAATTTTAAAAAAAATTAATGATTTCATTATTGTGGATGAAAAGTATGTACGCCACTTTATTCAATCGTTATGCCGTGGAACTGTATCCACCTTGCAATGTGGACACAGTTCTATGTTCATAATTATTGAACTATATATTCATAATTTTTTAACTTCATATTCATAATTATTGAACTCTATATTCACAATTACAGAACTCTATGTTCATAATTATTGAACTATATGTTCATAATTATAAAGCTATATATTCATAATTTTTTAACTTCATATTCACAATTATTTAATCTCTATATTCATAATTACCAAACTATATGTTCATAATTATGTTCACAACGTTATGTTCATAATTATAGAACTATATGTTCATAATTTTTGAACTATATATTCATAATTATGAACAATTTATTGCTCTTATTACTTAAATTAAAAAATAAATTAGTAGCTACAAAAAAAATAATATATATGCATTTAATTAATTTAGAATTAGATGTCTCATAACACATGAAACATGTAGGAAAAACTACCACTACCAAATATCAACATGTGCTTGTAAGATAAAGAGTTCATAGCACAACTAAGATCTCAGTCATATACACAACCAGTACGTGTTGCAAATATCGCGCCTAGACGCCGATTAATCGCTCTAGGCACCCTAGGCAGTCCCAGGCGCCTAGCGATTTTTTTAACCTTGTACACAACAAGACAAATCTAAAATTTCATACACCATAATCTCATTGCATGATGAATCCCTCTATGATACTACCAATAAACCAATTGCACATGACACAATACCAATAACCAAAAAAAAAAAAAAAAAAAAAAAGACATGTACTGAATGAAGATGAAAACAATAACAATGCTACCTAAACAAGAATTAGAAACATTTAAACCAAAAATATTATTTATTTAGACTATCGCTTTTAGACTTAGTACTTAGATTAACGTTATTACAAAGTTGCAAACAAATTTATTTTTGTGACAATTATATATAATCAATATCTCATATATTATCTTGCATTTATATACTTTAAATTACCAATTTAAATAAACAAATTCAACATTTATTTACCTATGCATGAACATCTTCTATATAATATTGCATTGATATACTTTGAAATACTTGTTTAAAAATAAGTATTGGGCATTATCCTATTCGCGCAAAGCGCTTAGAAAAACTAGTATATATATATATATATATGCGTGAATGTTTCCCGTGCGGTTGT